TTGACAGGGCTGCAGTCCCTCTGGAGGACGTGGGAAAGAACCTGTTCCCCGCCTCTTCCAACTTCTGCTGGCTGCTGGCATTCCTTGGCTTGTGCCTGCTCACTCTGTTTCTGTGTTCATCTTCATACTGCCTTCTCTTCTGTCTTAAATCTCACTCTGCCACCTTCTTATGTAGACATTACGCAGTCCAGATAACTCTCCCATCTCAGGAGTATCAACCTAATCATGTTTGCAGACGTTTTGCTATATATGGAAACATTCACATGTTCCAAGAGTTAAGAACCTGGACATCTTTGGGGAGTTCATTGTTTAACCTGCCACAGCTGGTTATCATCACACTGCATATAATCCATATGGACCGTAGCCCACTAAGATTAATTTGGTACCTTTATTCCCTTATCCCCACCTACCAAATGGCAGCCTTCCATGACTGTTTAGCCACAAACCTTGCTGTCTTGGAGCTAGGTCAGATAGCCCTTCACATAGCTAGAGATAAATTATTTTCCCAGCTGTAAACTAGACCTCCACTTTTCAGCCATTCATATGGTAAACACCTTTGGTGATAAGTAAACTCAAATTATAGGATCAGTGCAGCAAACCACCATCCTCACCTACAAAGGCATCTCAAGTGGGTGTCCTAGTGATAGTGGCTCAAGTTTAAAGTTTATCCTTTAAGAGTAGACTATTACAGTGACCAGCATTATTTGAATCTATTCTGAGAGAGGCACAAGAAAGGTTACCTTTTCACGTGGGTTTTGACTTAAGCTAATGCTGTAAAGCTTGGTCTTAGGAGGAGAGAATGTAGTTGTAGCTAGTTGATAGGAAAGAATGGGGTTCATTGGCTATTATTACTTGCTTTCTAAGAAAAAATGTGATTTTGGAATCAAAGGTTGTGAAAACCAGCTACAGGACCTTGAGAGAAGTTAATTATCACTGGGCTTCATTTTTCTCATCTATGAAGGGAAAAATTTGTTTCATGATCTCTAAGACCCCTTTCAGCTCTGAAATGCCATTTTGTTGTTTCTTGAGTGAAACTTAGAGAATTTTAACAATTGTCCCGAAAAGATTATTACTAAAAGCCTTGTTCTTGTGCCATTAGTAGGCAGGTACAAGATGGAACAATTGATAGGAAAACTCTGGCAGTCCTAGGATTCTGACTTGGGTATATTTATATTACCATTAGTTACCTGTCCTTGGTACTAAAAAAATTAAATGTTTTATACCGATAGAGTTTACTAAGATTGAGAGTCTACTTTCTGTTAGGCCTTTACTGCGTTTGTGCTGCTTTGGAAATATCCAAATGCAGCTGACATATAAATCTGAAGTTCACATGGACTGAAGATAAATAAACCCTTAGGTTCACTCACATTTAAGAAATAGGATGAAGAAGATAAAAGTTAATGAGAAGGATTATCCAAGGAGATAGGAGACAATTCGGGAGACTATGTATTGTGTCACTGAAAATAAGGAAGAAAATATTTGAGAGTGTTCAGTGCTCCAGAAAGGCGAAGAGATGCAGGAACACTAAAACGTGGCCGTGAATTTAACAGGAAGGAAGCTGATGAATTTATTGTGATCAGTTTTAATGGAGGAACAGGGATGAAAGTTAATTACCTGAATTGAAGAGAAGAGATTAAAGAGAGATAAGAATTGCAGAAATTTCTCTCAGAAACTTAGCTAAGAAAGAGAGGCCGAGTAACAAAGGGCAGTAGCTAGATTGCAGAAGTGGGGTTGGGAGATTTACCCATGTTTGAAAGCTGTTAGAAAAGAGCCAGTGAAAGGAGATGTTACCACAAAAAGGGAAGCTGTCAGGACCAGTGTCACAGGCTTAGCCTTATATAGAAGGGACACTCCTTCCCTTACTATATAAAGGAGGAAAGAATAGATGCCAGAATGGTGAAGATACATTTTAGGGAAGATGGCAAAATGTGAAAGAGGGTTCACGAATGAAGGCTCTGCTGAAGTTTGAGGTGGTAAATCTTCAGTAGCATTAATAATTTGTGCGATTGTTTAATTTCCCCTATTAGTGCTGAATTACTCACATACAAATAGGGAAGGCTGTGACGCTCAGAAGGATTACACTACTGGCTAGGTCAATGCTACCATCTCTTTAATAGATACTCCAGGCCCCTCGACTTCAGGGATGGGCCCAATCATAGGACCTTATCTCCCAACCACATGGGTTCGTCCATGGGGAGGACAGGTGACCTCACCCACACCAACTGGAGTCTTTTCAGACTGGAGCTGGGAGAAAGAACTGTTTGTTTTCTCTAGTTGAGAAACACAAAGATGTGACGGGGGTTGCTTGTTGCAGACATGTTTCTTATGTAGTTAAGAGACAAGGAGTGGAGGTGTTGGGGGTGAAAAGAAGACAAGAGTTGAGAGGAGAGAGGGGAGAGTTTTAAATTCCTGTGTCCCTGAGACCGGCTTCATCCATCTCTTTTTATGATTAGGCTGCATAAAGTATTACGTTCCCCCTTAAGATAGTTAGAGTTTAGGTATTTGTATTTGAAACTAAAGAAACGCTAACTAATCTACGGATATAAATGTGGAGAAATCAGAGTAAGAGTGGCCAAGAGTTACAGGCAGTGGGACAGAGAAGTTGGGATACTAACAAGACTGGTAGAGGTGACAGGGCGTGGGGTCTAGGTTACACAGGAAAGGGGGTGATGACTGGTGGGCTAGAGACAGAGGAATCAAGGAAATTCAGTTCTTAACTAAGCTAAGGAGATAAAAGGATGGAAGTTGTGAGGGTATAGGAGTGTTGGATGGATTTGTAAAGCAAACTTTTTAAGAAAAAACAGAAGTTCATTTGAGAGCTGTGCTCCTGCTCCTTCGTTATCTGGCTACAGAATAAAAGCTTGCAATGTTAACGCTCAAAAACAAAACAACAAAGAACAATGGATCACCGAAAAAGCTCTAAAAAGATTCATGAAAATCCCTTTGTAATTTTGCTATTCAAAAAGGTAAGGATAACATCCACCTTTTAGATTTGTCATGTTATGTAAGCAGGGAGAGGACTTGACTTACAATATGGCAAGTGTGTTGAGTTTTGCAAGATACTTTATAATAGATTTTTGTTGTATCATATTCAGCTGATTGAGTAACAAGAATTTTCTAATTTGGAGCTCAGTATCTCTTTAAGCAGAATATTCTCATGGGCAAAAAAAAGTGAAAAAAATTCTTCGAGGGTAGAATTGAATGTATTAGAAAATTTTAGATAGTTAGCTATCATTTTCAACTATCTACCTTTATGAAGAGATCTTTTGTTTTTCATCTTTACTACATTGTTAAATTACTCTGAGTAGTATTGAGTATGATGGTAGGTAAAGAACCTTTAATGATCTGTCTGTCTTCTATTGCAGTTTCTCAGCCCACTATTACTTATGGGTTCAAAATGGCTCATACAAGTAATAGAGTTCATTTAAAAAGCATTTATCTGGCAAGTATCTGCCGAGTCTTGAGTTAGACATCGTCTGTCTCTCTCTCTCTACTTCTCTTAAGTGCAGCCTCATGAGACATTAGCTATATAATAGGTTGTAGTTCTTCAGGAAATTTGATTTCTTCAAAAAGAACATCCAATTTACAATGTGGTCTTTGTGCCTTGATTTACCCCTTATTTTAATTTGATGCTCTATCATTTTTGTATTTGAGGACATGTTTTTCATGTCCTGATGATAAGTAAATGTGTCCTAATTTTTCTTAACTCCCATAATTATCCAATAGTTAAATTCACTAGGGTAGCCACACCAAAGAATCCTCACAGAATCTGTCAAGATACTGGATGAGGATACATGTATTGAATCTTAAATATGGAATCTGTAACCTAAGTATGTTGGTCCTGAATTTGGAAGTGTTGTCGCTGACAAGGGGAGTCGCTCCTGGTGTGCAGTCTTCTGTTTGCACATGTGTAGACTGTCTCCTCCTCTTGGACAAGACGGTGAGAGGGAGACAGAGGAGCACATGGCTCCCCCTCTGCTCTGCTATCTGGGAAACTGTCTGAACCTGCCATCTCCTCTTTAAAAAGATGAGGGATTGGATAGCATCTGAACCCCCTTTTCCCATCTCAAAGTAAATGAGGTCTTTGCTGAGTCTCATGGGTCCCTGTCCTTCTTTGAAGAAAAGTGTTCCAACTTCATTATAATGTCATTCACCTCGTTATCCTTTCCTTCAGTATAATTTGCTGTTGTGATTTTATATCTTAGCAATGCATTTGTGTCCTCTTTACAACATCTTATACAAAATTAAGAAAGTAAGATGTGGAGTCGCGTTTTCTTGGATCGTTGTCATAGTGGAACAGCTAGATTACAAGGAGCTTCTGTGTAATACCGGCCGGGCCTGTGAAAATCAGGGAAGCAGTCTTATGCTGCGTTTGTCATTACTGTCACCGAGGCTGTGAGAAGCTTTCTGCGTCCCCCCTCCACCACCTCACACACACCACTGTAATACTAATTGTAAACAGAATGATAACGTTAAACCAATAAAAGCTGCTTAGAAACTCTAGCATTATTCTGGCTAGATGGTTTTTCATAATCTGGCTTTAGACCCCCTTCCATGTATCTTGCTCATTAAGTGGTTATGAAAATAGTTATATTTATTTCATTAATGAAAACGGTATGAGTACTCTGATATCCAAACTAGTGAAACTACAAGACCATATTTTGAATAAGAAAAATACAGGACATGTCTAATTTGAATCGTATCCTATTTAAAATAAGATATAAATATGATAATAATGTGCGACAAAATATAATACAGTTTTGTGTGTTTTATTTACAAAAGACATTTTTTACTTTGTGGAAAACCTATTTCACAAAGTGCCACTCGCCCTGCGCCCATCGGCGTCACCTGTGCCTTCCTCATCTCTGTCGAGGATGACCAACGAGGGCTTGGGAGTTGCGTGCTGACTCACTCAAGCCTTTTGGCTTTGGTCCTTGTGTGGATTCAAATAGTGGAACAGAAAAAAAATAATAATTCCATCTTGTTCTCTCTCTTCACAGGCTCTGTACAACTCAATCAAGAATGAGAAGCTTGAATGGGCAGTGTAAGTATGCTGGATGGCAGCCTTGTAATAAATAAGCTACTTGCTCTTTTCTTACTGCCTTTCTTTATGCCTTAGCGGTGATCCTAAATGTGCATGGACAGTTCTCGTTTTATACCAGTGCCTTACCTACTTTGTATAAAACCTAAATATCCCATGTCTTTTTCTTGGTACCCAGCATGCTCCTATTCTGCTTTTAATCTGGTTGCTACGCCTGTAGGCAATTAATTGTCTTTTTAATGTATCCTTTTTAAAAAATAGCATCCTGAAAGAAAATCTGATAAAATTATATGCATTCCAAAATCCAATACAAATGATTTTGGTACCATCGATTTATTTTCATCTTTTCTTGCTATCATCATAGATCAAGGTTTTCCAATCCTATTTCCTATGACACTAATTAGACAAGAATATTGATAGATAAACTTGGAAAATGGTAGATTAAATAAAGCTTTTTTTTTTTAACTGCAGAACTTCCAGGGGCTTATACAATGTCAATTTATATTGTCCATCTCCAAGAAAAGAATAGAATTTGCAGTGTTTCCTGAACCTATCTGACAGTAAAGTGTAGTGTTTCAAGTACATACTTTGGGAAATACTATTCCAGAAAAATTACACCTAATTCTGTGTAGAACAATGATACCACTTTATTAAATTTTCACTGATCAGTGTAGCAGCTGAGAATTTAATCTTTAAAAAAATTGTTAGGGAAGAATCTTTACTAAATGTTTAATGAAGTTGTTAAGAAATTAGGTCAAAATATATTTTTTAATTAGAACTACATGTAAATTTTATTTTTGATTTTCACTCCTATTAAGCATTCATAAATATTTTTCTACCATGTGACCTAACATAGCAATCTGCAATGAGCTTAAGTTTACAAAACTGTAATATGGGGGATAAATATTCTTTCATGTGCACGTTGGGTAAAAGTCGTTTAGCAATTGACTGTATCTCACATATAATATGCTAGAAAGAATAAAAAAATCAATATCACTTGGATTGTTTCCAGTAATTATAAGGTCATCTGGTAGTATTTTAAGTTAGGGATTCAAAGTTTAAGATGAGACTATAATATTTGTAAGTATATGTGATGACCTCTGTGTGTGTGTGTGTGTGTGTGTGTGTGTGTGTGTTTGTATCATGAGATTCACTTAAAGGCAATGTATCATTTCAAGGAAAACTCATTAAGATTAATAAGAATTCATGGTCTGAGATCCAAAGTGATCATTGTTGGACTTATCTCTCTTTACTGAAAGTGGGTTTCCTAGAAAAATTCCTTAAATGATGTACTTAGAATCTTACTGAAATATTAAAGGCATATCCTGACCTATGCAGAATATCTACTCTAGAGCAAATTAATAAAAATGAAATAATTATAAACATATTCACACTAGGGGAGAGAATATTTTAAGGATTCTTTTATAAAGTTTTTTAAAAAGCAAATAAATACACTCCTGAATCTGTTTTGTAAATCTAGAGTTTTGATATACTGAATTGTTACAGTAGGCTTTATTCATATTTATGTAGTGGCAATTTGGTGCAAGAAACCTTGGTCTTGGGCCCTATCTAAGTGTAGGGGTGGGAGTTTACCTGGGAACTGGATTCTTCCATTGCCCTCTTTCAAGTCAAAAGAGCTTCATGTTGGGGGCTGGCCGAGTGGCTCAGTTGGTTAAGAGCTCGCTCAAGAGTGCGAGCTCTGAGCAACAGGGTTCACCGGTTCTATTCCAGGCCCGAGCTCAGCTGCTGCTGAACTGCCCACAGGTGACAGGATGGCTCAGCTAAAAAAAAAAAAAGCATCCTGTTCAGGAGCCCAGACCCCAGAGTCAGATAGATTTGGGTTTGAATTCCAACTCTGCCATGTACTAGCTGGGTCACTGGCCGTGTTAATGTCTAGCCTTCAGTTTCCTCTTACATCTGATGAGCAATTATTGAGCTTCCCATAACTCTCAGGATGGCACTGTGAAATGTTCTGAAACTAAGCATAAAGCAAGTTATCCCTCAGATGGTAACTAATATCTTTAAAGCTCTGATTTCTCACTGCTCTGTCATTTTCCATTTTGTTTCTCTCTTGTTTCTATGCTTTCATATCCACATTTATTCACTACTTATGAAGGATAAGGCTTTATAGTAGTTTATCATATAATTAACTTTCTTCACCTATAAAATGAAAAGATTGGATGAAATGATCACAACTGTCCTTCCCAGTTTTAATAGTTTGTGAATTTTAAAATTGTTACTATTGGTGTTTCTCAAGCTGACTTCTTGTGGAATGAACACCTTGTATCTAGAGGATGTAAAACAAAAAGAGTTTATGGGTCAACGTGATGTACTCTTTGAATTCCTACACGAGCTAAAGGGCCAATACCTTAAGCTCTTCAATCACTGAGTCCTGTTTTGATCATCAAGTGCCTTTCCACAGCTACTAAAACTAGGGTGCCCTAGAATACACTTTAGAAAACCCTGCTGTATGTCAATGTATGTGACCCTTCAAATCAAGAACTAAACTTTTCCTTATTATATATACCACTGCTCACCCAGTCCTTGTGCCTCTCCAGTCGCACTTGGACTCATCTTCCTCCTTTTGTCCATTAGTGTTGGCGCCTCCCAAATATCAGCACTTAGAATTGCCTTCTTTCACTAAAAGCCCCTTTCTCAGCAATCTCATTCATTCCTGAAATTTCATCTGCCATATCTGTAAAAATTCTTCCCAAAGTATCCATACAGCTCTGACCTCTTTCCCAAGTTGAGTTCATTGTTTACGCTTTCCTGCAGGACATTTCCAGTGGCACTTAGCATGCATTCACTGTCTCTAACTTTGTCATGTGTTCTCCACTTCTATTAGTGACACCAGTATTTGCCTGCTTACCTAGATTTTGGCCTCTGCATCACCTTTGACTCCTCCCACGCCACCCCTCAGCCCCTCCTCTGATTCCTGCTGCAGCGGCTGCATTCAGACGTTCACACTTTTTGCCTCCTAGCATGTGCCTCTGTCTGCAGCCTCTTGCCTCTACTTTAACCGATTAGAAGCATTCCTCTGCTCTAAAACTTCAGTTAGGCTCTGTACATTCTGTCAGTAATTTTTTTTATTTCCCGACGTATCTTCACACAGCCTGGATTTCACCTAACCTGCCACTAGATGCAGTCTCCTGTACTTGTCCCATAGCGTCCTGCCTTTTTGCCCATGTTCATGAAGAAACCTCTGCTTAGAATCTCCATCCCTGCCATCCCTTTATGTTCAGGCACACCATTCTTTATAGCCCAGCTCATAATCTGTTCCAGGAACTCTTTCGTGATCTTATCAACCAGAAATGATCCAGCCCTCAAACATCCCTTTTACTGTGTCTGATGATACCCTCGGTTGCTACTTGCCATTGCAGTTCTTTGTAGGATTGTCCCATTAGATATAAGCTCGTTAAGGAAATGATACATGCCTGGATTTGTCCCTTTATGTCCTCCCCTGCTGAGCTTAGAGCTTATATGTAATGAAGTCTGCATAACAGGCTATAGAAGTAATAACACCAACAATGCAAGGAACTGCTTTTCCTAAAGGATCAGCCTACAATTGTGTAGATTAGACAATAGTTACAGGAAGAATGATGCTGCAAAATTTGCAGGATAATGGATACTTGCATGGGAGGTATTTGAACCTTAGAAGAAATCAAATTATAGAATCATGGAATGTTATAACTGGAAGGACCTTAGAAGTTTTTAGTTTGTTGGTTTTCTAACTGGGTTCCATGCAGCCCTGGGGTTCCAGGGAGGTGTCTGGGGGCCTCCTATGTGATATGAGTGAGGGGAAAGGGGGCAGATGACGGACCCAGTTCTATTTCCCACAAACATCATGCCTCTTTCAACTTACCAAAGCAGCCCCACTTTTATCTTTTAAATATATATATATTTGGAGTTCTATGAAGTATTTCTTTGTTAAAGGTATCTGTACTTAAAAAAACTTTCTTTGGAAAAATACTCCTCCAATCCAGTGTTCTCATTTTCTCATATAAGAAGGATGAAGTCAAGAAGCATTCATTAACAGATCCAAAGTCACTGTTAGTGTAGCGGCAAAGTTGGGGTTTGTTTTCCCAGGGGCCCTGGCTCCCCATGGCAGCCCCTTGCTGCCTCACGTCTCTGCAGCCACATACTCATAAAGCGTTTGCTGGGCAGCACTCGTGTCTGAATGTTTCTATGCCACCTTTTGATACTGTGCAAATAAGAGTTTTATATTAAATTTTTAGTCTCATTAAATGCTCCTAGAATTACTAGTATTCTCCCCCCAGGCAAGTTAGGGTAGCTAGGACCATTTATTCATTTTTTTCAACAATCTTTAGGCAGCTGCTTCTGTGCCTGGCTGGGTGCTGTGCCCCAGATACAAATAGGAAAAAGACAGGCTTCTGCCTAGGAATACAGCGTGGAGGTAGGTGGACGAGGGTAGACTGTGCAAAGACGAAAACATAAAAATTGTAGTAAAGAGTACAGTTAGCCAAACTGCCAGGTGGAAGGTCTCAGCTCCCTCGTGCAGGGCAATTACAATTTCTTCCCCAGTCCCTTTGCTCAGTTGTTCGTTATTCATAAAGCATCTATTTCTTGAACTACTTTGTACTACTAGGCAGTGTGCTGGAAATCTCTGGGATCAGATGGGGTGAGGTGAGTTGAGGTGGATGCAGGAGCTTATAACTGATGTTACAATTGTTTAAAATTGAGCTTCATAGGGATCTTCAGAGAATACACCAATTAACAGAAAAGGGAAAGTAAAATAAGTGCAGTATCATTCATTAGGAAAATTAGTGGTCTTCTCTTGTTTATTGCTGTTACTGTACAACAGTAGTTAAGAATTGCAAGAAATCTTCCTCACCCTGGTTTTTAAAACTATTAACATCTTATGTACCCAGCCTCACTTTAATTAAGACACAATAAAACTAGTTTTAAATAACATACTTCTGGTCCCCCTCCACTCCCCGACTTCCCTCTGTCCCTGGGCCTCACCAGCAGTGTCATCGCTTACC